AAAATGAGTAGGCCGGATATATATATATATATATATATATATATATATATATATATATATATATATATATATATATATATATATATATATGTTGAGGTTGATCAGTAGCAAAAGGATCATGTTATGAAGATTGAGTTCTCACCAAGATTCAACTTGAAAGTTGGGACTATCATTGATGTACGAGTCGAAGGTCTACATTGCCGAAATCCTCTTGTTCCTTCAATATTTGTTTAGCAGAAATGACAGCTTCGTCGCTACAACGAAGCAACTGAATCGATTGAAGCGTTGATATTTCTCCAATACATGAAGGGATCTCCTTCAACTTATGCAAGCCCTGAAGATGAAGATGCTCAAGGCGTGGAAAGTGGTTGTTGTCTGTTGTCCACCACTGCAGGTCACGGCACAAGCTGATTAGCAAGACTTTAAGGTTACAGAATTGCCCTTCAATTGTTTCCCACTTGTGTCCAACAAATGATTCTTTCTCCAGTTTGAGGACTTGAAGATTGGGTAACAAACCTATCTTTAACTTCATGTCTTCCCATTTGAGACAGGTCCCCATCAAAGTCAACTTCTTGAGGGAATTAGGGAGGATGAAATTCTGCACCATATCATTCACGGATCGCATTTTTAGGGAATAAATGTAGAAACGCAAGGACTCGAGTTTATGTAGATGGCCAAGATTGTCGACACGGTAACTCAAAAATCCCTGAGGTTCCACAAAGTAACTTATTTGTAATTTATTGATATTGGGGATTCTCTTGACCACCTCTTCTTCACATTTGAAATTTCTTATATCAGTGAGCGTCTGTAGGTTCCCCAAAATAAACTCGTCATCTTTCCCACCAATAGGAGGATCAGGCAGCTCAAGTACATCGAAATGAACATGCTTAAGTTGAGTCATGTTCCAAATTTCACATGGTGCAACAACGTCCCAGCCACCATTTACAACTAGAGTCTGTAGATTCCAAAGGAGATTGAATGAAGGAAATACGGAACTTATAGGCACATCAGATCGGATAGCAATGAACCTCAGGTTAACTAGCCGAAAGACAACTTCCACGAAATATTCATATTGTATGATGTTATCGATAAGTAAATTATCATCGACTTTCAGCACCCTCAACAATCTAAAATCAAGTAATGGTAAACGTTCTTCAAAATTGCAAATCAAAGAACGAACAAGAGGCACATCTTGCAACGTACGAAGGACTGGATAAGGGTGATAATCCTTCTCCGACATGCGTTGATGAATACCAATGCGGCGTTGGGTATTTATGCCCTGTGGAATGGTAAGTTCATGCGGTCTTTTGACATAAAGGAACTCCTCTCTCTCAGCTTCTCGTAAGCATAGTTCCCTCAAGAGATCATGGATTTTGCAAAACTTGATATTTCCATAAGACCCCCTTTCATGAACTAAAATCATGTTTCTATCACAAAGCTCCTGCAAGTACTCTCTCGAAACCACGTCCAAACTTTTGCCGTTAATTGGTTTCACAAATCCTTCAGAAACCCATAGTTTTACGAGCCACGAGACACGGATCTTTTTGTCCTCAGGAAATACTCCCATATAAAGAAAACATGGCTTTAGATGTACCGGCAAATGGTTATAACTCAATTGTAATACTTTTAAGCAACGTTCATCGTCTTCCGAATTCACAATTTTTTTTATGTTTTCTGAAATATATTCCCAATGTTCTCTTGTGCGCTTAGACTTCGCTAGGTGTCCTCCAATCACAACTATTGACAAAGGAAGTCCTTCGCAATTTTTGGCAATCTTCTTTCCTATTTCCTCCAATTCAGGAGAGCAATCTTTTTCTTCTTTAAATACAGATCTGCACAGTAGATCCCAACTCTTATCCTCATTTAAGAAACCCATCACAACGCCATGAGAGCCAATCGAAGCAACGTTCGACAGCCTAGTGGTTATCATTACTCTACTTCCTTGACCATTGTCCGGAAAGAAGATTTGCACTTTATCCCATACCTCAACACTCCAAATATCATCCATTACAATCAAATATCTCCTTCCCCATAAACTTTGGTGTACTCTTACACCTAATTCACCTTCGCTCTTCGCACTCAAGGTTTCTCGGCTCTCAGCTTTGTTTATACAAAGAAGAATTTCTATAAGAATCTCCCGCACATTGTAGTTTTGAGATACTGTAACCCAAGCTCGAATATCAAAGTGCTTCATAAACTTAAGGTAAGCATTTTTAGCAAGAGTAGTCTTACCGATGCCGCCCATGCCAACAATCGGGATTATGCGGAGATTAGATTGTTGTCCAGTGAGCTTATCCATTACTTCAATCAAGAGCTCGTCAAGACCAACCACGGCATCCCGCCTCGTTGTTAAATGAGACCTTGATGAAGCAGCACCAGCAAGAGTTGAAGAATTTATGTGCAGATGATCTTCGATTATTCCAATATTCTTCTCTTTAATCTCCATCACATCTTTCTTGATTAAACCCATGTCTTGGATCACCTTATCGAGATCTAAACCAGCTACGACATTCTGCCTCGTTGAAGGAGATCTTGATGAACCAGCACCACAAAAAGTCGACAAAATCCTGCGCAGACGATCTTGCATTCTACTATTCTTCGTTTTTCTTGATCCACCAAGGATTTGATCACCAACCCAGGTTTCGGTTATATCTTTCGACGCTTGAGCCGTCGATTCAGCAAGAATTTGATCAACAACCCGGGTTTCGATTAGATCTTCGGCTGCATGAGCTGCATCTGCAATTCGACTTTCAAAAACACCAATTGCTTCTTTGCCGCTGCCAACACAAGGATATCCCTGCTCAAGAAACTCTTGCAAGAAATTGAGGTTGTCGGTGAGAGATTGGACCTGGTTTTGGTCAAGACAAATAGGAGGGCGAGGGTGATGCTGAAGCTGTTCGATGATATGCCTGAGAGAAAGTAGAGCTGCGTAAGCCGCCATCTCTCTTTCTCTCTCCCGAAAATCGAATTGGTTTTCAGAACAATTCTTCAGGTTGAGAATCAAAAATCAAAAATCAAGAATCAAGAATCACTCCATCTTTGCTCAAGGACAGTAAAAAAATGCGAGAGAAAGAAAATGAATGGAGTCTGAAAAAAAGAAAAAAAAATGGTGTAGAGAAATGGAGGCCAGCGATGGTTGACTATTCATGCCTGATGAAAGTTGAAAGGAGAAAATGGTGGGTTAATGTCATGTTTAACTCAAAGTACAATTTTGCCCTTCAATTGGCACGTGATAATCACATGGGTGAAAGTACTATTAGGTGAAGCACGCATATACATGGGTGTTTGTGTGATTGAGTGCAGATCAACGGTTAATAATCATCCGGTGTATTTCTCCGGCAGTAGCATCAAACAAACGGTGAAAGAATTGTTAGGTGAAATATTATTTTCCTTTTTCCGACTCCATATTTTAACACTAGATTTTGATTTTCTAATGCCAATTTAAATAAGGAAATGATGAATACATAACGATTTTTAGTAATTGTAGTTTATTTTTTAATTTTAATTTTATCTCTATTTATGGGCCCATATTTTAGTAGCTATAAATATTTTAATATAAAAAGTAATTCTCGTCATCTATTTATCATTAAATGTTAAATGATTATATTTATTCTCTACAATTTCGAGCCTACACATATGAAGAAAACTCTAAATTTATTTGGCTTTAATATCCGATATTAAGTATAACTTAATTTTTACCTCACTTTCAACCGTATCATCCTCCAAAGCCGATAAATTCCATATTCTTGGTTATTAATGATGATCAGTGGTTATGTTATTCTCCCAAAATAATATCCGTGAAAAAGAGTTTGAAAAAAAAAAGTTGATACATATAGGTGTTAAATTTTAAAATAAAGTGTTTATGTTTACTAAACATATTTGTGTAATATATTATCAAAATAATATTATTGAAAACTTCTAAAAAAAAAAGGGTTTCACAAAATAAGATGGTATATATATTAGAATTTGAATTTTTAAAATAAAATGTCCTATATTTATTAAAACTTGTCCTGTATTTATCAGTATTATTCTATGTTGCACGGACACTTCTAGGAGGTGAAGAGTCCACGTATCCGACGATTGGACACTCGGACACGCCCGGACGCGGCTGGGGCACCTGTGTCGGGCCATGTCATAATTTCGCTAAAAATAGGACACTCGCGTCGGGCAATATCCGCAAATTCTAAAATAGTTGGGACACTTCTCTATGTTTTAAGAGAAAGACCTAATAAAAAATACGCATATTCTTTTCAATGCAGCATATATTTCCTCTGACTTATTTGAGAGTCCACCCAAAAGTCCAAAACTCTAGGGACGACAACGACCAAGAACACGAGCAGCAAGGGCGAGCGGCTCTCTTATGCGATTTGGCAACTGATAAATGTATTTTTACAATTTATAAATGAACCCCTATATTTTATAATTTATAAATATACCTCTATATTTTTTATATTTACGCGTATCTCCGCATGTCTATATCCTATTTTCTTGGAAATGCCGTATCACCGTGTCCGCGTATCCGTGTCTGTGTAGCATAGGTATTATTACATAAAGCTTTTCTACATAGGACTAAATAATCTTTAATCTGCAAGAAGATCAAGAAGATCTAGGGTAAAAATTAAAGAGAAAAAGCTATTTGGATTTTGGATACAAACAATAAATTGCAATAAATTAAAATCCACGACTTTTTCATTATTAAATGACATTGATATTTCTCTATGAAACAATAGTGTTTCCTCTACATTTTACTTCAAGAAGTGTCTTGATTGAGAATCCTTGTCTTTTTACATACTTTTTCTTGTTCCTATTATCTTCTTCACAAACGGGGGACTTTTTCTTGTTCCTATTATCTTCTTCACAAACGGGGGCGCCGGATGATTCCCCCTGCAACCCTGCACAACACACGTGATTCCTTCAAGACCATTTTTTTTAATCAAACAACCATTTTTTCTTCTTCTTAACTTTTCCGTATTCGCATTATTTCGTCCAACTGTCCAACATTGTTTTGGGGAAATTTTATGTCGTCGATTGGTTCTATTGAAATTTCTATCAACTTTCAGATTTAGTGCCCCGCAAAGATGTAAAAAGCTTCTCTTTTCGAGCTCGGCTGAATAATTAAAAGATTAATTTATTGTAAGATTAAAGCTCGTTCGAGCTCGGCTGAATTTCTCTATGGAACCAAGCTTAAACACAACTGTGAAAGCTTGATAAACATTCAAACATATGTTCGGTTCGACCCAATTTGTTTACACCCCTATTTATGAAAATCCGGGCAACTCCTTAATTGCGATTAGCAAACAAAAAAATCGATTAAGCTCTTAACATAGCAGCATCAAATATTATCTCTTTCGTCCACAAGAAACCTGCAATAAAAACATACCAATTAAGAAGAATACCAGAATGAAAACCAATTCAGATTAAAGAGACTTCTTTTAGCAGACAAAATATGTTAAAATCACCTTTACTCGAAACGAGTAGAATTGCTTCTTTAGGTTAGCATGAAAGCCAAAGAATCAGTCTAGAATCTCGATCCAAATTTCCTGATACAATTGGTACAACATTATTCGAACAGCAGTAAGCACAATTTAGTTTCCTTTTGTGAATTATACATACTTTGTCTCATCAAAGACTTGCACCGATTCCATCCCTCAAGTTTGCACCGATTTCACATTTGGTCCCCATGTTCACAAAAAACACATTTGGTCCATAATATCTCAAAAATTGAACACTTTTAGTCATTTCCGTTAAAACTAACGGAATCAAGCGTGTGTCCATCACTGCCTTAACTAGCGGACTAACAGTAAATTATCGGAAATGATCAAAAGTGTTAAATCATTGGAACATAAGGGACCAGATGTGTTTTTTTTTTAACACGAGGGACTAAATGTGAAATCGGTACAAACTTGAAGGATGAAAACTGTAATTTCCCCATACTTATATCTATCTTTTCGTTTTCAAGTTCATGATTTTTCTACTCAAAGGAACAAAACTTCTGCCGCATGGCTACAAATCAAAAGGACGATATGGTCTTTCAAGAAAACTCTATATCATCGCAGTTGTTCTTGTTCCATATAGAAAAGGCAAGCAAACAATTTGAATTATCGAATTTACAATCAAACTATTTACAATAGGAACTCACCTTCTCTTTCCCTTTCGACATACGAGAAGACGTTGTTCCATGATCAGTCAATCTGCATAATATAGTATAATTTAAGCTTTAGCATCACTAAATTTAACACGATTGCAACATACATACTTTTGGGGAAAAGTAATAACACAAGAAATCAGAATAAAGGAGGATTAAGATACAAAAAGCACGACCGCAGTGGCAACTTAATACTACCATAGGGATATTGGGTAAATTACAACCACCTCCCTGAGGTATGGTTAATTTACAATAATAACCCTCATGTTTGGCTAATTACAATTACCCCTCAACTATGAATCTTCTTACACATCCACCCTTACATTGTCAAATTTAGTGGAATCTTCTAGATTGTGTGGATATTCTCCAGTTTGTACCCATTTTATCCCATTCGAGTTCCACATTATGAAACAAGATGGTCATACGATGTGTCTCTTGGCTTGTAAATATCGGATTGTGGTGCATCAGAAACTGCATTTTTGCACAAAAAGAGTACAAACTAGAGAATATTTTACGGAATCTAGAATATTATGTTGAATTCGACACCATAAGGGTGGACGTGTAAAAATATTCATAGTTGAGGGGTGGTTGTAATTACCCAAACATGAGGGGTTTTTTTCGTAATTTGACCATACCTCCGGGATGACCGTAATTTACCCTAGGGATATTAGATTAACAAGTACAACAAAAACTAGAACATCAAAGAAACGGTGTTGTTACAACGACCATGTTTCAGAATAAGAGAATTATTTTTTTCTATCATCCCAAAGTCAGTTATGATATAAATTAAATGATGAACAAAACACAACTTTGCTAGATTAAGACCGTGATAATAAACAGTACAAGATTGTGTACACGAAATAATAAAGCCCAAAGAGAAGCTTACATCTCTGCTGAGGAACCTGGATTTGCATCAATCTTCTGCTCTTATTAAATATGGAAACACAAATAGACGCGTTAAATATTTCAACTAATTCTAAAAATTATAAAAATATTAATAATAATTCAACTCCGACCTGAGTGGACAAACCGTCGTCACCTATCAGTAGCCAGCATTCCTTACTGAGGTCTAATTTTTCATGGTCACCGTCATCGTAGACAACCTAAACGAAACAATTAGAATTTGAAGAACTGATTCACAACGCACGTGCAATCCAAAATGTAAAATATACATTATTCAAATTAAAGATCCAGTTATTGCAAGTAAGAAGGGAGCATTTGTATTTGTAAATACGAAGAATGGTCCACCAAACTAAGTTGCTAACAAACTTCATATATATAGAAGTTTGAAATTTTACCTGGTGTGTTTTATTCGAATGGTCGAAAGATGTAATTTTCCCTTCATAAAAACTACAAAAGGAGACAGATTCGGGAATAAAGAGATTGCAGTAAAAAGACAAACGGACACAAAAAAAAAAAGAGTGATGTGGCATCAGTTCGTTCCTTGCATCAGATGGTTATAATCGGGAATACTTACATCTGATCCAGTGGCCAGAAAACCTTTATCCTGCGGCCAACCACCTCTTCACCAACACAACTGCTTGCGCCCTTTACCTCGGAACCCTAAATAATAACAGTTAAAGCTTAATATGATTTTATAGATACACAAATGACGTATGGGTAAACATAAAATATATGCACAAACATGCATGTTATTAGTGCGTGGGAATTATCCAAAACGTGACCCACAATATTTGACACATTAAAGATGTCGCATTAAAACAAACGAGAGAATCACAGGCCCGGAGCATTATTCTGCATGGCGGATTTCATTTATTTGAACTTCCCTTTATAGATATCAAAAACATAATTCCTTTTGACACGTGTAAATATCGAAATACACCCCATATTTGAAAAACAAAAAAAGAAATCAAAGAACTAAGAACGTAATTCCCTTTATAGCGGAACTACGTATTCTCTCTTGGCATTTCCGAAATTACATTCCCTCAAATTCAGTGTGCTGGCACGTAACCCTGTTTGCGCACTTTATTTCCGGAGGTTGCCAATACCAAAAGATTTGGTTTGAATTTATGGGAATGCCAAAAATAATTTGCAACCTTTCAGTTAAATTCAGGGGCGAGTCCAGCTAGGGTGGACTCGATCCCTCCCTCAATTAAAAATTCTTCTAGCATATTTTACATATATATTATTATTTATCCAACCCATTTTTTATTATTTAGCTCATCCAAAACTCAAATTACGCAAAAAAAAAACCCTAATTTTTTTTCTCTTCCTAATATATCAAATAAAAAAAAAAGGGTCCTTTTTTTTTTTTGAGGGCTCTTCCCCCGAACCCCCGAAAATTTAAGCTCACCCTGTAGTCAGGAACTCGCCACTGGTTATATTTGGCAGGTTAACGCAGTAAAAAGGTTACCAAAGGTAAAACTATGAGGGTGTTTGGCTAAGCTTATTTTAAACAACTAATAAGCTCTTACATCTCATAAGATGTTTTAAGAGCTGATAAGTTGTTACATCTTATTTTTAGGATTAGTTTTTAGAGTTTGGATAATTAGCATATTTCATATGTTTACTCATTATAAGATCTTAAATAAAAAGGTGGGGTAGAGGTACTTTTTTAAAAAGATCTTATTTGCTCTCCAACAGCTTATTTTAAAAAAAAAATTATCAACCACTTTGGAAGAGCTTACAATCTCTAAAACATCTTATAAGCTCCTATTAACATCTTATAAGCTTAGCCAAACACCCTCTAAGTCCAACTGAAAAGGAAATCAAAAAGAAAATAAACAGAGGAATTAAAACTCTTTCAAAAGAGGGGGGCCACAAGAATAATAGTTCAACATTAACAGTTACAAAGGTAAGATGGATAATGGCTAGACCTTGTCGTCAGACGCGGTACTCTTCTTCTTATTTTGAAAGTTAGAGACTTCCCCAGATAAGGCTTCCCCTTTCGATGATGTAGATGTGGATTGAGAAGGCAATCTCTGCATTATGCAAGAGAGAGTTATCTAACAGTTAACGACTAAAAGTCGAGAGAAGTCGCCATCTGGCGTTCAATTAATTGCAAAAGATCTACACAATTCACTTATTACCTTGTTAAGGATGGCATCGATTGGGTCTTCAGAAAGAATAGTCTTTCTCTTGCCTTTCTTTGCGGGAGCTTCCCTCGTCTGAGACCCTTGCAACGTCCACAAAGGATCATAGCCCTCCTCTGGTTTAAGTAAGGAGTTCGGTTTCCGACTCCTTTTTCTCCGAATAAGAACATCATCGCTTACCGTTAAGCCAGGTGGGGTTACTGCAGAACCACCTTCCACCTGACACGTGGCATCTTCATTACGTTCAACGTCCTGGAAAAAAAACAAAAAAATCGAAGTCAATGTAATTGGAAGCAAATTAACTCATCGCGTTGGCTGTCTCGAAACAAATTAAATCATTTGGGATAAATCATTTCCGGAAAGTCCATTCTCGATACGTAAGACATTGTTACTTCTGAAATCCATTTCCAAAACTTAGTGGATTTATAGTTCCTTTAAAGTATATTTCACCAAACATCTCGTAATATAATCACCGAACTTAATAAAGAAAACTTAATAAGAAGTACAATTGAAAAAATGGACTTTTATTCTAGAAGCTCATGCAAACATGCTCTAAATTTCTGACGAGTTCAATTAAAGTAACTCAACGAAAGACTTAGTATGAAAAAATAAATATAACATAAAACTGATACGCGCGTTAGATTGGAGAAATGTACTTTAGTTATTTCCTCTCCCTTAAACATTAGCATTTAATGTGTCGTATATAATCTTAATTCTGGTGATCGAATCTAATATCAAATATGCATGAAAAAAACACCAAAGGTTTTAACGTTATGTGGTTCAAGCCAAGGTAGAAAGATATATAAAGTAATTGAACAAATGGATTAAATTGATTCAAGAGGAATGGATTTAAAATGACTCAAACAGAAGGATTTGAAATTCGACGTAACGACTCAAAAAATAACTTAAAATGAGAACTAAGGGTTTTAAAATCTATTGTCAAATAAATCAATCCAAAACGCATGAATTTGTTATTTTAAAATTTTAAAACTCGTTTGCTCAAACCCTTCCATCCAAATGCAACTTCAAAGTTATACCAAACACAACCGTAGCAACAAATACATTATCTCCAACCTAACCAAAACACGTAATGCATCTTCTTATTCTAGCTTTATTTTTTTTTCTTTTTTTGAAAAACACACCATGTTTTTTTCCCCTTGAGTTGCACCCTGTAATAACGATGCAACTACTTCAGCATAATCCTCGATGGGAATTCCCAAACTTTTTGCAGCTTTAGGAAGATGCTCCTTGAGTGCACTGGAGCAATTCTTAAATGTGCCCTCCGCCAGCTGGAATGAAGCTGGTGTAACATTCTGAAGTAGAAAAAAAAATGCTTTAATAAGACCAAAAAACAGTGTGATACGGCACGAACGATATAGAACAAAAAACACTGAAAAAAATAGGAGAAGTTACTTGATCTTCCTTCTTTAACCTAGCAAGAAGGATTTTTGCAAGTTTCACGGAAAATTCATCATTGTCATCATTGGCACGAACGATCCCCGCCATGATATTCACCATGTTTGAGAATATAGCCGGATGGTGGCTGCTTCTAAAGTTGGCAAGAATAAAATATACGTAGTTGATACTTTAGCCATAGACAGAAAAAATAAAAATATGCTGGGAATCAAAACCTCGCTTTCTCATGTAAGCAACTAAGAGACTGCATACCACATGCACACACACACAAACGCGTCGAAGAAAATAAACTATTTGCCAGCCAACAACAATTTTCATGGTAAGCATAAATTATAAGAGCATAGCGCACTTTAGAAAACCTTCATATCGAGGACAAATTTACTCGCGTGTCAGAGAAAATGCGAAGATCACAACGATTAAGTTAAAAATCAACTGAGATCAGAATATATATATATATATATATATATATATATATATATATATATATATATATATATATATATATATATATATATATATATATATATATATAGTGCAAAAGCATGTAGAATTAGAGGAAAACGGAATGCAAAATTGATGGATCTCTAACCTTATGACATTGAAGAACAGGTGAAACATTTGACGGATACTGTCGTACAACTGATGATCCAACATCAGCACGCATGACTGACATAATGAAATAGACCTGACGATCGACACAGCTTTTAAATAGGCTCCGCCAGACATGAAAGACAAGTTCTCAAGAGCAGTATTAAGAAGCCCAAAATACTCCTGCACACGATACATTGACAAAACTTTATGCATCATTATCTAAATAAAAGGGTAAATTACAACCACTCCCCGGAGGTATGGTCAAATTACAAAAAAAAACCTCATGTTTGGATAATTACATCTAACCCCTCAACTATGAATCTTCCTACATCTCCACCCTTATGGTGTCAAATTCAACACAATCATCTAGATTCCATGGAATGTTCTCTAGTTTGTACTCGTTTTGTGCAAAAATACAGTTTCTGATGCACCAAAATCTGATATTTACAAGCCAAAAAACGCATCTTATGATCATCTGGCTTCAAAATGTGGAGCTCGAATGGGATAAACGGGTACAAAACTTGAGTATATTCCATATTACCTAGAAGGTTCTA